GGGACAGAGAACACAGTACAAATGGCATTATCATAATATTTGTAGAGACCAATCTCATCCATAACCTCCCTTCTTGCTACACCTTGCCCTCTGCCTCCTGACTGATAAGAGTCCAGTGGAATGAAGAGACGGGTATTATCTTATTTTAAAACAATTTTTATTTTATATAGTAGTGTAGTTGATTAACATATTGTGTTAGTTTCAGGTGTACAGGAAAGTGGTTCAGTTTCACATATGCCTTTATTTTTTTTCATTTATTTTTATTAGTTGGAGGCTAATTACTTTACAATATTGTAGTGGGTTTTGTCATACATTGACATGAATCAGCCATTGATTTACATGTATTCCCCATCCCGATCCCCTCTCCCACCTCCCTCTCTACCAGATCCCTCTGGGTCTTCCCAGTGCTCCAGGCCCGAGCACTTGTCTCATGCATCCAACCTAGGCTGGTGATCTGTTTCACCATAGATAATATACATGTTTCGATGCTGTTCTCTTGAAACATCCCACCCTCGCCTTCTCCCACAGAGTCCACAAGTCTGTTCTATACATCTGAGTCTCTTTTTCTGTTTTGCATATAGGGTTATTGTTACCATCTTTCTAAATTCCAAATATATGTGTTAGTATGCTGTAATGTTCTTTATCTTTCTGGCTTACTTCACTCTGTATAGTGGGCTCCAGTTTCATCCATCTCATTAGAACTGATTCAAATGAATTCTTTTTAATGGCTGAGTAATATTCCATGGTGTATATGTACCACAGCTTCCTTATCCATTCGTCTGCTGATGGGCATCTAGGTTGCTTCCATGTCCTGGCTATTATAAACAGTGCTGCAATGAACATTGGGGTGCACATGTCTCTTTCAGATCTGGTTTCCTCGGTGTGTATGCCCAGAAGTGGTATTGCTGGGTCATAGGGCAGTTCTATTTCCAGTTTTTTAAGGAATCTCCACACTGTTTTCCATAGTGGCTGTACTAGTTTGCATTCCCACGAACAGTGTAAGAGGGTTCCCTTTTCTCCACACCCTCTCCAGCATTTATTGCTTATAGACTTTTGGATAGCAGCCATCCTGACTGGTGAGTACCAGACTGGTGTGTACCAGACTGGTGTGTACCACAATGGTACCTCATTGTGGTTTTGATTTGTATTTCTCTGATAATGAGTGATGTTGAGTATCTTTTCATGTGTTTGTTAGCCATCTGTATGTCTTCTTTGAGGAAATGTCTGTTTAGTTCTTTGGCCCATTTTTTGACTGGGTCATTTATTTTTCTGGAGTTGAGGTGCAGGAGTTGCTTGTATATTTTTGAGATTAATCCTTTGTCTGTTGCTTCATTTGCTATTATTTTCTCCCATTCTGAGGGCTGTATTTTCACCTTGCTTATAGTTTCCTTTGTTGTGCAAAAGCTTTTAAGTTTCATTAGGTCCCATTTGCTTATATTTGCTTTTATTCGGGAGGTGGGTCATAGAGGATCCTGCTATGATTTATGTTGGAGGGTGTTTTGCCTATGTTCTCCTCTAGGAGTTTTATAGTTTCTGGTCTTACGTTTAGATCTTTAATCCATTTTGAGTTTATTTTTGTGTATTGTGTTAGAAAGTGTTCTAGTTTCATTCTTTTACAGGTGGTTGACCAGTTTTCCCAGCACCACTTGTTAAAGAGGTTGTCTTTTTTCCATTGTATATCCTTGCCTCCTTTGTCAAAGATAAGGTGTCCATAGGTTCGTGGATTTATCTCTGGCTTTCTATTCTGTTCCATTGATCTATATTTCTGTCTTTGTGCCAGTACCATACTGTCTTGATGACTGTGGCTTTGTAGTAGAGCCTGAAGTCAGGCAGGTTGATTCCTCCCGTTTCATTCTTCTTTCTCAAGATTACTTTGTCTATTCGAGGTTTTTTTGTATTTCCATACAAATTGTGAAATTATTTGTTCTAGTTCTGTGAAAAATACCATTGGTAGCTTGATAGGGATTGCACTGAATCTATAGATTGCTTTGGGTAGAATAGCCATTTTGACAATATTGATTCTTCCAATCCATCAACTCGGTATGTTTCTCCATCTGTTTGTGTCCTCTTTGATTTCTTTCATCAGTGTTTTATAGTTTTCTATGTATAGGTCTTTTGTTTCTTTAGGTTGATATACTCCTAGGTATGTTATTTTTTTTGTTGCAACGGTGAATGGTATTGTTTCCATAATTTCTCTTTCTGTTTTCTCATTGTTAGTGTATAGGAATGCAGGGGATTTCTGTGTGTTAATTTTATATCCTGCAACTTTACTATATTTTTTGATTAGCTCTAGTAATTTTCTGGTAGAGTCTTTAGGGTTTTCTATGTGGAGGATCATGTCATCTGCAAACAGAGAGAGTTTCACTTCTTTTTTTCCTATCTGGATTCCTTTTACTTCTTTTTCTGCTCTGATTGCTGTGGCCAACACTTCCAAAACTATGTTGAATAGTAGTGGTGAGAGTGGGCACCCTTGTCTTGTTCCTGATTTCAGGGGAAATGCTTTCAATTTTTCACCATTGAGGGTAATGCTTGCTGTGGGTTTGTCATACATAGCTTTTAGTATGTTGAAGTATGTTCCTTCTATTGCTGCTTTCTGGAGAGTTTTAATCATAAATGAGTGTTGAATTTTGTCAAAGGCTTTCTCTGCATCTACTGAGATAATCATATGGTTTTTATCTTTCAATTTGTTAATGTGGTGTATTACATTGATTGATTTGCAGACATTAAAGAATCCTTGCATTCCTGGGATAAAGCCCACTTGGTCATGGTGTGTGATTTTTTTTAATATGTTGTTGGATTCTGTTTGCTAGAATTTTGTTAAGGATTTTTGCATCTATGTTCATCAGTGATATTGGCCTGTAGTTTTCTTTTTTTGTGGCATCTTTGTCTGGTTTTGGAATTAGGGTGATGGTGGCCTCATAGAATGAGTTTGGAAGTTTACCTTCTTCTGCAATTTCTGGAAGAGTTTGAGTAAGATAGGTGTTAGTTATCTTCTCCAAATTTTTGGTAGAATTCAGCTGTGAAGCCATCTGGTCCTGGGCTTTTGTTTGCTGGAAGATTTCTGATTACAGTTTTGATTTCCTTGCTTGTGATGGTTTTGTTAAGATCTTCTATTTCTTCCTGGTTCAGTTTTGGAAAGTTATACTTTTCTAAGAACTTGTCCATTTCTTCCAAGTTGTCCATTTTATTGGCATAGAGCTGCTGGTAGTAGTCTCTTATGATCCTTTGTATTTCTGTGTTGTCTCTTGAGATCTCTCCATTTTCATTTCTAATTTTGTTAATTTGGTTCTTCTCCTTTTGTTTCTTAATGAGTCTTGCTAATGGTTTGTCAATTTTATTTATTTTTTCAAAAAACCAGCTTTTAGCTTCGTTGATTTTTGCGATGGTCTCTTTAGTTTCTTTTGCATTTATTTCTGCCCTAATTTTTAAGATTTCTTTCCTTCTACTAACCCTGGGGTTCTTCATTTCTTCCTTCTCTAGTTGCTTTAGGTGTAGAGTTAGGTTATTTATTTGACTTTTTTCTTGTTTCTTGAGGTAAGCCTTTATTGCTATGAACCTTCCCCTTAGCACTGCTTTTACAGTGTCCCATAGGTTTTTGGTTGTTGTGTTTTCATTTTAATTTATTTCTATGCATATTTTGATTTCTTTTTTGATTTTTTCTATGATTTGTTGGTTATTCAGAAGTGTGTTATTTAGCCTCCATATGTTTGAATTTTTAAAAATTTTTTTCCTGTAATTGAGATCTAACCTTACTGCACTGTGGTCAGAAAAGATGACTGGAATAATTTCAATTTTTTTGAATTTACCAAGACTAGATTTATGGCCCAGGATGTGATCTATTCTGGAGAAGGTTCCATGTGCACTTGAGCAAAAGGTGAAGTTGATTGTTTTGGGGTGAAACGTCCTATAGATGTCAATTAGGTCTAGCTGGTCCATTGTGTCATTTAAAGTCTGTGTTTCCTTGTTAATTTTCTGTTTAGTTGATCTATCCATAGCTGTGAGTGGGGTGTTAAATTCTCCCACTATTAATGTGTTACTATTAATTTCCTCTTTCATACTCATTAGCATTTGCTTTACATATTGCAGTGCTCCTATGTTGGGTGCATATATAATTGTTATATCTTCTTCTTGGATTGATCCTTTGATCATTATGTAGTGTCCTTCTTTGTCTCTTTTCACAGCCTTTATTTGAAAGTCTATTTTATCTGATATGAGTATTGCAACTCCTGCTTTCTTTTGGTCTCCATTTGTGTGAAATATTTTTTTTTCCAGCCCTTCACTTTCAGTCTGTATGTGTCCCTTGTTTTGAGGTGGGTCTCTTGTAGACAGCATATATAGGGGTCTTGTTTTTGTATCCATTCAGCCAGTCTTTGTCTTTTGGTTGGGGCATTCAACCCATTTACATTTAAGGTAATTATTGATAGGTGTGGTCCCGTTGCCATTTACTTTGTTGTTTTGGGTTCATGTTTATACAACCTTTCTGTGTTTCCTGTCTAGAGAAGATCCTTTAGCATTTGTTGAAGAGCTGGTTTGGTGGTGCTGAATTCTCTCAGCTTTTGCTTGTCTGTAAAGCTTTTGAGTTCTCCTTCATATCTGAATGAGATCCTTGCTGGGTACAGTAATCAAGGTTGTAGGTTATTCTCTTTCATTACTCTAAGTATGTCCTGCCATTCCCTTCTGGCCTGGAGCGTTTCTATTGATAAATCAGCTGTTATCCTTATGGGAATCCCTTTGTGTGTTATTTGTTGTTTCTCCCTTGCTGTTTTTAATATTTGTTCTTTGTGTTTGATCTTTGTTAATTTGATTAATATGTGTCTTGGCGTGTTTCACCTTGGGTTTATCCTGTTTGGGACTCTCTGGATTTCTTGGACTTGGGTGGCTATTTCCTTCCCCATTTTAGGGAAGTTTTCAGCTATTATCTCCTCAAGTATGTCCTCATGGCCTTTCTTTTTGTCTTCTTCTTCTGGGACTCCTATGATTCGAATGTTGGGGCGTTTCACATTGTCCCAGAGGTCCCTGAGGTTGTCCTCATTTCTTTTGATTCTTTTTTCCTCTCTGCTTCATTTATTTCCACCATTTTATCTTCTACCTCACCTATCCTATCTTCTGCCTCCATTATTCTACTCTTGGTTCCCTCCAGAGTGTTTTTGATCTCATTTATTGCATTATTCATTTTTAATTGACTCTTTTTTATTTCTTCTAGGTCCTTGTTAAACATTTCTTGCATCTTCTCAATCTTTGTCTCCAGGCTATTTGTCTGTAAGTCCATTTTGTTTTCAAGATTTTGGATCATTTTTATTATCATTATTTTAAATTCTTTTTCAGGTAGATTCCCTATCTCCTCCTCTTTTGTTTGACTCGGTGGGCATTTTTCATGTTCCTTTACCTGTTGGGTATTTCTCTGCCTTTTCATCTTGTTTAGATTGCTGTGTCTGGAGTGGGCTTTCTGTATTCTTGAGGTCTGTGGTTCCTTTTTATTGTGGAGGTTTCTCCCAGTGGGTGGGGTTGGACGATTGGCTTGTCAAGGTTTCCTGATTAGGGAAGCTTACGTCGGTGTTCTGGTGCATGGAACTGGATTTCTTCTCTTTGGAGTGCAATGGAGTGTCCAGTAATGAGTTTTGAGATGGGTCTATGTGTTAGGTGTGACTTTGGGCAGCCTGTATGTTGACACTCAGGGCTATGTTTCTGCATTGCTGGAGATTTTGCGTGGTATGTCTCGTTTTGAAACTTACTGGCTCTTGGGTGGTGGTTGGTCTCAGTGTAGGTATGGAGGCTTTTGGATGGTCTCTTATTCCTTAATGTTCCATGTAGTCAGGAGTTTTCTGGTGTTCTCAGGTTTTGGGCTTAAGTCTCCTGCCTCTGGATTTCAGTTTTATTCATCTAGTAGTCTCAAGACTTCTCCAACTATACAGCACTGATAATAAAACTTCTAGGTTAATGGTGAAAAGATTCTCCACTGTGAAGGACACCCAGAGAGGTCACAGAGTTACATGAAAAAGAGGAGAGGGAGGAAGGAGATAGAGGTGAGCAGGAGGAGAAAAAGGGGACTCAAGAGGAGAGAGACAGATCTACGCAGTTGTCTGCTCCCAAAGTGTTCTCTGTAGCCCAGACACCCACAAAGATTCACAGAATTGGATTGGGAAGAGAAGGGGAAAGGGGGAAATAGAGGTGTTCTGAGGCAGAAAACGGAAAGTCAACATTGGGAGAGAGTAATCAACACACTCCTGAATAAAAGTGGGAACTGAATATTGGATTCTTAAATGTCCAACATTTATATCACATACTGAAAAACAAAGATTAAAAATCTAGAGTAGAGGTTAGACTCTTAAAAATACAATATTAAAAACAACAAAAACTAAAAAAATTTTAGAAATATATATGAAGATCGGTTAAAAATAGGGCTTCTCTCTCTCTCTTTGTTTTTTGCAAGGTTATAGTGAAATGAAAATGAAAATTAAGGAGAAGTAGAGGAGTAATAGAGGACTTTAAAAGAAAATAAGAGAAAAAGAAAAAAAAGAAAAGAAAAAAAAAGAAAAAAGTTTTTTTCCTAATTAAAAAAATCATAAAAGTATATGAAAATGAAAGTTAAGGAGTAATGGGGGAGTAATAGGGAATTTTAAAAGAAAATAAAAGAGAAAAAATAAAAAAGAAAAGAAAAGAAAAAAAATTTTTTTAATTAAAAAAAAAAAAGGTAAAAATATATCTAGGAATTTCTCTGGAGATGTTGCGGTCTGTGTGGGTTCAGTTCAGTTTCAGATAGCTCCTCGTTCCAGCTTACACTTCTCGATATCTATAGGCCCCTTCCAGTGTAGTCGGTGTTATCTGCAGGGATTTTAATCTGTTGCACCAGTCCCTTCTGAAGCGGTTCCCTTTGTTTATTTGGCTTCTGTTTGCCGGTCTCTTCAGTGTCTAATTTCTGCCTTGACAAGGTGGGCGGAGGTGGTCTCTTGATCAGGTTCACTAGTTCAGTCGTGCTGTGGCGAGGGAGGAGCGCTGCTTTCCCCATCTACTCTGCTCAGGGTCCCAGCTGCTCTATACGGAGCGGGCCCTGTGTGGCATGCGGTTCCAGCTTTCCGGTGTTCCACAGAAGCACGGACTCAGTTGCGCCTGCGTTTTGTGCCTTCCCTAGCCCGAGCAGCTCAGGCAGCCAGGAGCTTGATGGGTGCACCCTCCCCGGGTGTGGTGCACCTTCTCCCTTCCGCGGCCCCAGCCTCAGTTTCCACCCGCACCATTCGGGTGCGTGTGCCTTGAGTTTAGTGGTGACCTTCCTGGCGGATGTCGACCATCCAGAATCTCAGGAAGTCTTTGGTTAGAAACTGGAGGCCTGTTTGCAGTGTGGTAGGGGATGCCGTCTTTGGGGCAGAGTTTGCCCCTTTCCCCTCCCCCCCTGCCTCCTGCCTCTGGCAGGGCTGGGCCGGTCCGCAGCCAGCTAGCTCTGCTCTGGACTTGCTCAGACCCTTTGTTCAGTGAACGGCTGGCAGTGTGTTCAGGCCGGTTAATTTTCTCTCTCTTGCTATCCCACAGTTTAAGTTGCTATCTCACAAAAGCTCCCTCCGATTGCCCTCAGGGCACTCAGGCCCGGTCCTTGCCCTAAGCAATGCTGCCCGCTCCTTTCCGTTCCGCCCCCACTTGCTGGTGGCGGATGCGGGCATCTGGGGTACTTTTCTGCTGGGAGTTGCTTTTAGGCACATAATCTGTGGGTTTTATTTATTTTTCCTCCCAGTTAGGTTGCCCTCCGAGATTCAAAAACTTCCCTCAGACCCGCCAGTGCGAGGGTTTCCTGGTGTTTGGAAACTTCCTCTATTAAAATAGACTCCCTTCCCGGGACGGGTCTCCATCCCTAGCTCTTTTGTCTCTCTTTTTATCTATTTTGTTCTACCTCCTTTTGAAGACAATGGGCTGCTTTTCTGGGCACCTGATGTCCTCAGCTAGCGATCAGAAGTTGTTTTGTGAAGTTTGCTCTGCGTTCAATTGTTCGTTTGATGAACTTATAGGGGAGAAAGTGGTCTTCCCGTCCTATTCCTCCACCGTCTTGGCTCCTCCCTCACATATACCTTTAAAAAAATTCTTTTAAATTCCATTAAAAAATTTTTTTTTCCATTTAGGTTATTACAGAATATTGAGCAGAGTTCCCTGTGTTATACAGGAGGTCCTCACTGATCATCTGTTTTACATACAGTGTTGTGTCTATGCCAATCCCAGTCCCCCAATTTACCCCTCCCCTGCCTCCCGCCTTTCCCCTTTGGTAGCCATAAGTTTGCTTCTCATGTGAGTCTGATTCTGTTTTGTAAATAAGTTCATTTGTATCATACTTCTTAGATTCCACATATAAGGGATATCATATATTTGTCTTTCTCTGTCTGACTTACTTTACTTAGCATGATGATCTTTAGGTTCATCCATGTTGCTGCAAATGGCTGAGTAATATTCCATTTTATATATGTACCACATCTTCTTTATGTACTCTTCTCTTGAAGGATATTTAGGTTGCTTCTATGTCTTGGCTATCGTAAACAGTGTTGCAATGAGCATTGGGCTGCATGTAGCCTTTTGAACCAGGTTTTCTCTGAATATATGCCCAGCAGAGGGATTGCTGGATCATATGGTAGCTCTGTTTTTAGTTTTGAGGAGGTGGATTTTAGTCAGACTGGTTTTGAGTCCCAGGCCTACCATTTCCTAGCTGTATTATCTTGGGTAAGTCACTTGATGTCCTGAACCTTTACCTCACAGGATAGTTTTGAGGAACCTGGCCTTCTCACCCTCAATAAAGTCTAGCTTCCTACTTGTCCTTCTCATTCGAGGCCCTTGACCATCTGACCTCAGCATCTTTTCCCAGTCCTATACTCGTTTCCCCTTGAGTCACCTTATTGGGCTGGTGGCTTGGTCTTATGTGTCTTCACAGCCAGGCCTCACTCGTGCAGATCCTTGGCCCACAAAGCCTTCTCCTCTTCCTCACTCATCAAAGTCCCCGTGTCCCGATTTCACTGTGACCTCTTCCATGAATTCTAAGACCCCTGAGCTCTCCCAGAGGTGTTGGCATCATGCTGCCTCTGGTGGACAGAGCTTTGATTTCTGGGAGATCACATGTGCACATGTGTGTGTGCCTGCTTTCGCTCCCTCAACGAGACTGTCAATGCTTTGTGGCTAGTCCAACACCTGGTCAGGAACTGGACACACAGTGGACACTCACTGAGAGAATAGGGCAGGGGGGAACATGTCAAAGCTGCAAGGGATGAATCCTTTCAGCAAACACCGGGTACCTTCTAGGCTCCTGGAACTGGGCCAGATGCTGAGGACACTGCCATGAGCCAGACATGACCCCAACGAAGGTAAGTCCAGGGGAGACAGAAATGTAACAAGTGGAGGCTTGTAGAAGATGCCCTCAAGGACAAGATGGTGGTGGAGCACAGGGATGAAGTCTTAGAGGATGAGTAAGCAAATGCCCGCTTGACTGAGGGCAAAGGGATCACTTCCAAGAGGGAACAGCACATACAAAATCAGGGAGGTGTAGGAAAGCTTGGCGTCTTCAAGGAAAGTGGGGGAGCATCATGTGGCTACAGCATGACTAGGGGGAGCAGGTGGGAGAGGGATGGCATGGTCTGTCATAGCAGAAGAAAATGCTGGGGAGACAAGTGGGGCCAGGCCATGTGGAGCCTTTGATGCTGCAGCAAGTTACTTGGCTTCTATCTTGTAGGAAATGGGGAGCACTGAGAAGTTTAAGGGGTGTCATCATGAGGGAAAGGAGAGATATGCAGTCATGGTAACAGGCCCTGGGCAACAGAGATTCTGGTGCAGTGCCGTGGGCAGCAAGGTGACTCATTTGCCCACCAGGAGATTGCAAGGGATGTAGGATGGAAGCATGGTCTTCTTGTTCCTGTGTGACCATGCCCCTTGACGCTAAGGATGACAGTAGGATGCGAGTCTCCTGCCCATCATCCATCCAAGCCATCTCCATTCACTTACCCTGTCACACTTCACCACTGAATGCATCTTACATCTACCGTTCACCCATCTACCCACTCATACACAGTGGTGCCCATCCACCAGCTACCCTTCTGTCCGTTCTCCCAACCGTCCACCCATCTTTATTTTATAACAGAGTTTTTTCACTTTAGGCCAT